CTGAAGCAGACTCTGCACTGAGCATGGAGTCTGACTCGGGGCTTGATCTCATGACCCTGAGATCATGACCTGAGCTGAAACCAAGAGTCAGACGCTTAACCAACCGCACCACCCAGGTGCCCCCAAAATTCATTAAGGTCTGATTTACATACTTTTTTTCAATTACAGGAAATATACATCATTTGAAAGGTGCTTTCAGTTTACTACACAGCCTGTTGTTTTAATTTATTCCTTCTTTCCTTCTTCCCTTCTTTCTTGTAAGCTCTATGCCCAATGTGGGGCTTTAACTCACGACCCTGAGATGAAGAGTCCTGTGCTCTACTGGCCGAGCCAGCCAGGCGCCCCTTGTTCTCTCGTAATTGTACCTTCCACATCAAAGTTTCGCCTGCTAATGATAAAAAAGCTGAGGCCATGAAGTCGGTCTTACAAGGCCTACCAAGTGAATGCCCGACTCCTTAGCTGGACTGTGGACTGAGCACCTTGCACTGCAGCCAAATCTGGGTGCTGCTGACCCTGCCACACACTGTGGCTTGCTTGCCTCGAAGACTTTGCTCACACTGTTCTTTCTAGCCAGAAGGGCGTCTCTCCATCTCTCTTGAAATCCCGAACCTTCACTGAGACCCAGTTCAAAAGTCAACCCCTCCTCATAGCTTCCCCAAGTTAGGTGTGACCTATGCTCCCTCTGAATGCTTTTAGGCCTTGTCTTATCTCGCCTTCGTGCCTCTCACTACCACACACTCAGTCAACACACCCTTTAAGGCCAGGACTTAATCTTGCTTCTGCGTCTCCCACCTGTCAAACACAGTGCCCCACACAAAGTAGACAAAGTGAATGTTTAAATAATGGAAGAAAGGTATTTTTTAGACATAGCCAAGTGAGGAGTTAGCTTTTTTTTTTTTTGGTGGGGGGGGTTGTTGTTTCTTGTTGTTTCATGACTTAGACCTCATGAAATTTTTTTGAGATTTAAGAGCCCCAGTGTGAGAGTCGCCCACCACACAACTCTAGATGAGGCCGTGTGTGCCTCTGAGCCTGCTTTCTGTCATCTCCGAGGAAGCTTTCTAGCTCACAGTCCAATAAAATTTCGGCAGGAAAAGAGAGAAAGTGGCTTTAGAGAAAATCTACACCGTGGATTTGGAAAAGAAATCACCATCGCGACAGTGGAAGGACTCGGGAGGGAATTGGGCATGTTTAACCTGGTAGAGAAGACCTAGGAAAGACTTGAGCTCATGAAATGCTAGAGCTGGAAAGAAGCTTAGGGACTTCTGAGGCTCCGATGTCCTGCAAAGCTCTTTTTCCATTTGTAGTTCTGACTGATAGGAAAGGAAATTCTTATTCATTCATTTTACATTCTCAACCGAGAATGACGTTATGGGTCAGAATTTCAAATTCATTTTCTTTTATTTCAAATTCAAATGTGCTATGTCTTTAACAAAATCATAGTTTAAAAACATTCTTTATTCTGTCGTTCAGTGTTCCTCATCCACAAATTCATCAAACAAAATCCAGATAAACTTAGGGACCACTTTTTAGTGGGATATAGCGCTTTTTTTGCCTTCTTTGCTGGACAACTTAGAGCCAAACATGTTCCTCACCAGAAGTAAATGACTCAAGCCAGGTGCTTTCTTTCCTTTTTTTTTTCCCTTAAACACCTAGAAGAGTGCCTGAGCATATTAGATGCTCAAAAATACTTGTTTAATTAATGAATATCCTTAAGAATAGAATGTTGTATCATCTTTAAAAATATTAGTTTTGATGAATAATCAATGATATGGGAAATATTAATGATACAATTTCAAGTGACAACTAAGGTTGCCAAATTGTACATACACAGCATGTTTCCATCTCAGTGAAATCTGTTTTCTGTGTACTTATTACACAGTATTATATAGTATCACAATATGAAGAACAGTTCTGAGTTATATTAAATGTGATTTTTCTGTTTTTAGACTTTATGTTTTTCAAATTATCTATAATGAGCTTATATTAAATTTTAATGAAATTCATGCATATGAATAGTGTAAAATTTCAAATACTATAATAACATGCAAAAAAATTAAACTTTTTCCTATTCTCTTTTCTGGCTCTACAAAGGAAACTGTTTTCAAATATTTTGGCTGTAACAAAAAGAAACAGTAAATCTAAATAGACCTCTGTGTTAGATAAGCTACAAAATAATAGGGATATAGAAAAATTATCAGATAAAAAATTACGTATTTCTGGCAGGAAAGAAACCGTAGAAAAACCTTATAGGAAAGGAAGGGTAGTCATCTATGGACACTGTTTACATAATAATGTAAAATTAAATACGGTTTATCCCCCCAAAATGTGATATAACTAAGTTGGGAGGACAGGGGCAAAAGGATAGGTGAGTGCTATCGAAAACCATTTATCTCAGGGCGCCTGGGGGCTCAGTCGGTTAAGTGTCTGCCTTGGGCTCAGGTCATGATCCCAGGGTCCTGGGATCAGGTCCCGCATCGGGCTCCCTGCTCAGTGGCGAGTCTCCTCCTCCTTCTCCCTCTGTGATCGAGATCTCTCGCTCTCAAATAAATAAGTAAAATTTTTTAAAAAAAGAAAGAAAAACCAATATCTAATGTCTAGAAAAACCAATATCTAATGTCTAAAAGGAAAAAAAATCAACAAATAGCAAGAAGAAGCAGTGATTGTGAAATGTGTTAGAAAAGAAAAAGAAACAGCACAAATATTTGAAAGCAGTTTCTTTTTATGTTGACATATGTTTTTTCAAAGTAAAGTTGTAAAAGGCCTCTGTGCCCGTGGGTAAAAGCAAAGCACACAGCACCGCTGCCGGTGTGCAGTGCTCACTGCTGGCATTCTCGGTGACTGGGATCCACACTTATTTTGTTGTTACTTAGCTCATGGCACATGTGTCTTAATATGGTAAGGTATCTGAAATTCCTCTTGGAAGTGACCTGGCATGTTAGTTTCATTTCAATCTCAGATTTTTAAAAATGACCAGTAATTGGCTTCCTGACATCCAGAGAACATGTTTATATCAACTTGATCATATGTGCTGCAGCTTCTTGCTGCTGTCAGCAAAGGTCAGATATGGTTCTCTGGTGTGCTAGAATATATATTGGATTGTCCCTGGATTGTCACCAGTAAGCTCTCCCTTCCAGTGTTTACAACCTCATCCTAATCTCTCCTAATTCATTTTAACATCTTCCTTCTTCCCTCCCCAAACTAATTTGTACTTAATCCAAGTTCTTTTCTTTTCCCTACTACATTTGTTTTAATCTTTGAAGCCCAGAATGACATTTAGTGTTTCTCATTGTCACTTAGAATAAGGTCTTCACCATGCATATCTTTGTAGGAACATCTGACAGAATGCCTTCCTTGCTTTAGGAAACTCAGTTTTGAATGCAGGGCAAATGCATTCAGCTTTGATCCTGTTGCACAGAGCCAGGAAAGAACCTCTTGGGCAGAGTGCCTCCTTGATCTGCTGGCCCGGCCTCTCTCCTTACTGCTTCAAGTGCATAAGTTGAGGGAGATAAAGGCTTTCTGTCAGAGTTTGGGTATTTTCATTTTCAAATAATCTGATACCGATTTCTTAAGACTTCTGTTTCAAGAAGTTTAAAAAGTAGATGGGTATTTCAACTCTGCACAGTTTTACTGTCTTCTGTATTTCATTTGGGCCTGCACATGGGGAAATAGTGGGTTTTACTTTGCAGCTTCCAGCCGAGCCACAGACCACCGAACTGCAGGTAGAAGTCTAAATCTTGGAACTAGTTCTGGGAAATGGCACTGGGCTGTGTGTGTACAAAGGTGTTAACAGAGAATATAAAAAAGAGAGGCTAGATGGTGAGTAGAAAAATACAAACTTCTCACTGAAATCACCCATTCGCAGTGACTCTATGAGCAGAGATCCAGCGGGTGAGAAAAGTAGACACTTTCATGCAGGTGAGTTTATTCCCGGAAGCAGGGAGCTTTGGTGTGAAGTGCCAGCTTCACCAGAGTCAGAGCCAGCGGTGGGTCCTGAAGGATTTGAGCTTGTAGTTTCGGTTTAAATTTGCCTTCAAATCCACCCCACCCCACTCCACATGATTATCCCGTTACATATGAGGGTGGATTAATGTTCCTAAGGCTCTTTTGATGTGTCACTTCCTTACTCTCAAATCTTCAGGGGCCACTGGATCAGGTATATTCAGGGCCTTCCAAATTTTGCCCCAGACCTTTATTTCCAACCTCAATTTCTAGGACTTCCAGCTACATCCAAGCTGGGCTCTTCCTTTTTCTCAAGCCTGGATGGTATAGCTCCCTTCCCGCCTTTTCCCGCCTTCTCCTTTATCACTCTACTCCGCATGTCTTGTCAGAGGACCTGGCACCATCCTAGGTTAGGTAGGTTTGTGATCTGGGTCACATTATTCTTCCTCCCTGAGCCTCCCTCTCCCTCTGTGTAAGATGAGAGATTAAACTAGGAGACTTCTTTGCAGGGTCCTTTCAACTTTATTATTGTGTGGGTGAATGTCAGATTTAGCTTTTTCCTTAGTTGTCCCAGGACACGGGGTCCTTTTCTCTTTTGTGTCTCTGCAGCATTTACCATTCATTGTTGGAGACTAGTTAACATTTTTATGTCCTGCCTTCAACTACTTTTTGAAGATATGTTTGTAAACTGAGGAAGCCCTTTGGTAGAGCTAACTTGTTTCCCTGGGATGTGCGGGAGGGGAGAGGACTGTTGTGTGTTCTACTTTGGACTTCCACCTTGTGTCTAGATAGAGGCTTCGAGGCATTGGGACTCAGGAAGGATTTTCTCTTATTCCCCTTTTTGGGGAGCCTGGGATGTTCTTTGAGAAGAGGCATATATCTATAACATCGAGACCGAAGGAAGGATGCAGTCTCCTGGAGAATTCCGTCTGGTCTGCTCTGAGGCTGTTGGGTCTGTGCTGACTCTTTGGGTTGGCCTTCCTCTGCCATCCTTTCAAGAGTGCCAGGCTCCTGGCATTTTGGGTCAGGATGATGACTTCATCTTTCGCTGCATGTTTCAGGGCCCTGTTTGATTATGATCGAACTCGGGACAGCTGCCTGCCAAGCCAGGGGCTCAGCTTCTCCTATGGTGACATTCTGCACGTCATTAATGCGTCTGATGATGAGTGGTGGCAGGCGAGACTGGTGACCCCGCATGGAGAAAGCGAGCAAATCGGTGTGATCCCCAGTAAGAAGAGGTGAGTGGTCATGATCTTGAGGCCTTCCCTGCCCTCTTCCTGGTATTGCTTTCTTTTGTACCTATTATACTCTTAAGTTGCTTGAGAGCAATGGATGTGCTCTATCGTTCCTTTTCGGTAGAGTTGGTGCTCAAGACACAGTTATGACTCAGGGAGCCAAAAGGTGGCTGCTGAGACCATGCACTGGCAGTGAGTAACAGGACTCCTCTCTGACTCCAAAACAGGGTGGAAAAGAAAGAAAGAGCTCGATTGAAAACCGTGAAGTTCCATGCCAGGACGGGGATGATTGAGTCTAACAGGGTAAGTGGGGATCCCCAAGGAAATCAGCCAATATGTGAAAAGGAGTAAGAAGCTTGGAGTCTGTCTGCTGGATAAGAGAACTGGGGAGCACAACAAAATATCTCTTTTTCAGGGGGCTGGCTCTGTCCTATCAGAACACTGACTGCTTTTCAGAAAGCAGAGAGAGGGCACTGAAACTCCGTGTCCAGCCTGTACTCCTTCCCCCTGGGTTACTGGCTCTTGAAGATGTGTTGGAATTGGACTGTCTGGAAAGGCTGACTTGTTCCGGGTACATGAAGCCATCTGTGGTTATCTCCCTGGCCGCAGACCCTGTCAGAGCTGTGGGGGACCCTGAACAGAACCTGGCCTTGTTACCCAATGAGGAAGGCCAGCCTCAGATCTCTGACCACCTCCCCTCAGACCAATGAGGCATGAGGGCTCAGTCATTCACCCCTTTTCTTCTGTGAGCTTCGCAGGCCAAAGAACTTCTGGAGCGGTAGAGGGAAGAGAGACACGGAGTAGATGACTCTGTATCAGTGGCACCTTAGGGCATGTGTCCAGGAGGCTACAGTGACCTTTGTCCTTTAGAAAGTGCCAGTGAGTGCTGTGAGTCTGGATTAGGTAGAAACCTCTAACATCCCTACAACATTTTCCTGTAAACATAATTTTCCTCTTACATCAACTTTCATTTAATCTCATAGACTCCATTTGTGAGAGATGGTCTTTTATTTAGCTCACCATTGTCTCCATTTTAGTTTTTCTTGCATGCTTTAAAATCCATTGTTCTGTTTTTTTTTTCTTCTGTCCTTCCCCTCCATCTTCATGTTCTTTCACAGTCGATCAAAACGAAACGTAAAAAGAGTTTCCGCCTCTCTCGAAAGTTTCCATTTTACAAGAGCAAAGAAAACATGGCCCAGGAGAGCAGCATACAGGAACGTAAGTAGCAGCAGGGTACAGAGACAGACTGCCCACAGCCCCGCCCTCTCTTCCTCATTTGCACCTCCCCTTATGAGAAGATGGGGAAAGTGTGTGTGTGTGTGTGTGTGTGTGTGTGTGTGTGTGTGTGCATGCGTGCGCACGCGCGTCTATCCGTCTGTCCATGTGTGCGTGCATGAGTGTGTGTGTGCGCGTGCACCCTTGCTTATTTGCAGTCAGTGTAGAGATTGATCTGCATGGGGGAGACATTGGGTCTCTCTCATCCAGCTGCTCCCTCTGAAAGAATGTTGGAGGCTCTGAGGACCAACTGCTTCCAAGGCTGGTCTACCAGGACATCCCTGGCACTGGTGTTGGGGTGCCAGGCCAAGCTCTGCTGTGGTAGTGATCAGTTCTCAGCCACAGTGTCAGGTTTAGAAGAATGGTTTTTCAAGAGAACCAGGTCAAGGGACTCAGTGTTGCTCTCCTGGCTTCTTCCTCCTGTGTTTTCTTTCCCTTAACTGTACTCATCTGTGTTAAGAGAAGAGCCTTTTCTTCCCTGGACACCTGGAGTTGGACCTGCTTCTTGAATTACACGCATGTGCATATGCACCCAGGATGTCCACACGGCTCCAACAGACTGACTGTCATCCCAGATACAGAGCCAGCCTTCAACATAAAATCCTTCCTGCTTAAAGGAATTGACGTGGAAGGGGGATTACTAACATTGTCTAAATAAAGATTTATTGAAAAACAGTAAATGGTAGGAAAGGCCATAAGCTGACTTTTAAGAACCAATGTAATCTTAAGAAATATTCGTATTCTACCACATGTCTCGGAAATTAACTGCTCTGTTTAAGGTGCACCTTAAACACCAGGTCAAGCTGGTGAAACACTTCTCATATGGCTCATGGTGAACTGTAAGCCTCTTCTCTGCTGCCTCATAAGGAGGGGCCTTGGGGTCCTGGGCTGTTGGGACTGGCAGGAGATTGACTTTGTCTAGGCCAGCCTGATTCATGGTCATGGTCTACGTAGGTCATTGCTGTCTGAAGTGGTAGCTAGTCAATCCAAGGGTGCCTTCATCCAAATGGAGGTTATGGGTACATAATCCTGGGTAGCTCAGTAAGAAGCACCAGCTGCAGCTGGTTCTGCTCGTGAGCAGTGGGAAATGGTCTGAAGGGAGGTCACCACAGTTCACTGGATCAGCCTCAGAATGTCCGTGCTCGATCTAGCCTGGGGAGGGTTCACCGTTGGGTGGCCCAGCTGAGGGGCAGGGGGCTGCCTGTTGGGTGAGAGGTGAAACCGCCTAGTGCTCATTCTCCAGAAGCTGAGCTCGTCCTCTGTGGTCTACACAACTCCGGTCAGCTTTGAAGGCCATACCGGACACTGCATGAAGCTTTCCCTGAAGGGTCTGGACAGAGTGAGTCAGTATTAGGCAAAAGCTCCTTGGGATGATGATAATTCTGCCTGCTCTTTGGTGCACCCTCACAGGGAAATGGTGATTACAGGGGCAGAGCAGAGACCTGGGCTCTGTAAGTACAAATTCAGCCAAAGCAGGTACTCTAAGCCTTGGAAAGTCTACCTAGTCTGTCCTGTTGGGCTGTAGACTGTAGACCACCTCAGAAAGGTAGTCTGCTCCAAGGCCCTCTGGCAGCAAGTGGGGCAGGATGAAGTATCCGTATCTTATTGGATCTGGGGCATTCTTTCTGTAGCAAAGTTCTTAACCTCACTATAATTATAGGTCTTCATAGTATTTCATACTTCTGTCACTAATGCTTACCTGGCTCTGTATTCTTCCTTCCCCTTGTCCTTTTTCTCTGTTTTCTCTTTTGTCCCAATTCTTTCCCTCCCTCCCTCCCTCCCTCCCTCCCTCCCTCCCTCCCTCCCTCTTTCCCTCTCTCTTTGTCCTTGCTGTCTGTGAAATCAGGACTTCCCTGGGTTAAGTGACGATTATTATGGAGCAAAGAACCTGAGTAAGTCAAACTTACACACCACTAACTATTTCTGGCATGAGTGGAGATGCTGGGGTTGGGGGTGTAGGGAACGTGGGTGAGGGCAAAGGGTGAGGGGAGGACAGTGTTGTGAGGACTCTGACACCACAGCAGGAGGAGGAACAAGTGGCTCTGAATGTCACACTTTTGTTCTGGATCCCTGGTACCCTAATAAAAGGCTATCATTCACATCTGTATTTTCCTTTTGTACCTTGAAGGGATGGGGAGCCATCTTGGGGCCCCGCCTTAGAAATGAGGTAGGCAAGACGTACTTCTCCAAGGGTGACCACTCAGCTCATCTCTAGCCTGTTGTTGAGGGGAGGGGTGCCCACTGGTTGGCTTCTTCTCCTAGCGACATAGCACTAAAGAATTGGGCTTAAGAATGAGCAGTTTTGGTCTAACTAGGGGCAAGAGTACTGTGAAGCCCTTTACCCATCATGCATCTGGGACATCCCAGCAGGTCCAGGGGCCTCAGGAAAAGCCGTGGGCTGGCTTTCCACAGAGCATCTTTAAGGGGCTGAGCTGGTGGGGGAGGGTCTCAGCGGCATTTATGGACCATATATACATTTATATCTAGTGCCTTAGGTCAGGAAAACTCTGACCTGTTCTCTCTGGAAAATAATTCTACAGTGAAAAATGAAGGGACCGAGAGGACAGCACCTTAGTGTCCCCTCTGTGCACGTACACGTGGCTGTGCCAGGAGGTTCTGTCAGCATATACTCTCCTTCAATAAGTAATAAAGGCATGAAAGTAAAGGAGCTTCCTCAGGGGATTGCTCAGGAACTAGCCTTGGTTGGCGACTCATCCAGTCCTTCCTACGGGGGCCACAGCATATCACAGTCTGGAACAGTGTCATCTTGGCTGAAACGAGCAGTGTCTCTGTCCATCGTTTGTTGTGTTCATGTTTCATCTTCATTTGCTTGTCTTGGGAGCGGTGGCCTTTGTTTGGGCCATACTGCACCTTGTGCTTCCTTTGAGCATGGCGGCCATGCCCACACTCAGATGCAGGCAAGTCCCAGTGATCTGAGACAGGACGGTTGTCTTGGCCTCCCAGTGTTCTGTGTTTGTGGTCTCTGTGTTTTGACACGTCTGTCCGATTGTGGTTGGAGGAGCATCCTCCCTCACCACTGAGGCCAAGCTAGGAGGAGGAGGAGGCTAGATGATAGCGGAGCCAGGTCGGTCCCACCGAACGGTCAGAGCCTCATTCCCTGGTGACAGCTCAGCATACCCAGTGCTTAGCCTCTTAGTTCTAGAGCACCGCACAAATCTGTACATCGGGGATTCTGTCTGGGGGAGGGAATTCAAGAGGAGCCCGGTCCCCTGGACTCGTCTTTGCTACTGTCACTGCCCTTCCTTTCCTGTTGTTAGCCTTGGGAGATGCATTTTGAGATAGGATTTGGAAACCATCCAAGTCCGTTGTTTTGATTCAGATGAAGAGGATGCTGCCGAAGAATGGAAGGCTTGTAGTGTACAGGGAGGGCCTTGGCAGACCGAGAATGCTCTGGGGACAAGTATGAGGTGGCCAGGGGCTCAGGGTTGGAGCTCTGCCTCCCAGCTGGTAGCCTGGACGTGGCAGGCCTCCTGTGGCCTGACTTGGTTGGCAGCTCGGTGTCTTGCCTCCTGGAGGAAATGAGTTTTGTGCCGCGTGTGACCTCTCAGTGGTGTGTTCTGAATCGGAGTCTCTTTCTTGTTGGCTTGCAGAGGGAGTGACATCCAACACCAGTGACAGCGAAAGCAGTTCCAGTAAGTGTGTGTCATTCTCCCCCATGTCGTGTGGCTCCACCGTGTGTCCCAGCCATCCTCATTCCCGCGTTGCATGGCTGCCATTTCTGTTCAGAGGCTAGTGCTTCGTTTAGCCATGTGCACTTGGAGATCCTGGAAATGCTGTGGCCATTTTGTCCTGACGGGGTGGGGTTTAGGCCATGAATTAAAAGGAGAGTATAAGGCCTGCCCTTCTGGCCAGGACCTGACTTAAAGCCGTCCCTGGGGCCTCGGGAAGGGTGAGCTGCCAGTGAGTAAATCCCTGCCATGGGCATCCTGGGCTGTAAATGCTGCCAGTTTGACAGATTTGCTTAGAGACCAAAAGACAAATGGCTCCTGTGGGCTGTTGTCCTGAATTGCCTTTCTGGGTCTCTAGGACCCCCCCCCCCCCCGGGTTAAGGCTCGGTGTCTTTGTCTTTTTGCTGGGTTAAGTGATCCGGTAACTGCCCAGGTTTCCTTCAGAGATCCTGTGACCAAGCCAGAGAAGACACAGTTGGAACCCCACGAACTTCAGGAGCCCTGGCCTCTCGGGAGCTGTGGCTAGATGTCTTGTACAATCTGCCCACGAGTCTTAGGCTCAGAGGAAGCCTGTGAGCAAGCATCCTGGGGCTTGATGCAAATATTGCTGCCTTCCCCAGCATTGCTGTCAGCCCCTTGGGGGCCTCCAGGCACCCAGAACCAAGTGGCTTGGTGACTATTTTAGGAAAAGTTCATCACTGTTTATTTGTTTTCCCAAGATTTTATTTATTTATTTGACAGAGAGATAGAGAGCACAAGTAGGCAGAGTGGCAAGCGGAGGGAGAGGGAGCAGCAGGCTGTCCGATGAGCAGGGAGCCCGACGCGGGTCTCGATCCCAGGACCCCGGGATCCTGACCTGAGCTGAAGGCAGCCGCTTCACCGACTGAGCCACCCGGGCACCCCAAGTTCATCACTGTTAGGATGTATGGAGCTCTACCATGAGGAGAGAACAGGGCTCAGCATTGCTCTTAAAGGGGACTGGGGACCTTAGCCCAGCCTTGAGCCACTTATCTGGAGATTTCTTCCAGGGCAGGGGGGATAGGTAGACCCTTAAGAGCGCAAAGTTAGCTTGCATGAGTGCCCTGACTCCCCTGCTTGCAGATTAGGGGACGTGGGCAATATTTCTGGACCAGTTGAAGCTTCCCTGTGATTCTTACCAGAGCAAGAAGGGTAATTGAGCACAGTTGACTGTTACCTATAAGAAAAGTTCCTGAGAAATGAGGGTGGCTTTTGGTGGAGGCTTCATGGCTTCTGGGTCATGTCCCTTTGGTCAGCGATATTTTGCTGAATGAGAGGACTCCTGTCCCAGGGGTGGTGAAGGGCTTCCTGTGCTTTCTTGCCAGTGGGTAGCAGACAGGCCCACAGGGCAGGTGGTAGCAAGTACCACATTGACAAGGCTATTTTCTGGCAGAGGTGGGGCCGAGGGGGGTGTTGTAGGGGGACCAGGACACAGGGAGGCAGATTACAAAGTGCTAACATGTCTCCCTTTTTTGTTGCAGAAGGACAAGAGGATGCAATTTTGTCATATGAGCCAGTGACACGGCAAGAAAGTAAGCCCCCTTCTGAGAGTCTTGCCTTCAAGCTGGTCTCGTGGTCGTGGCGCCCAGCGCAGTGGTTGGCCGTGTGGGCGGAGGGAAGCGCGTGGGGGAGTACGAAGGTGGGGCCCATCGCATGTCCACCCCTGGGCGTCTCCTCCTCTCCTGCGTCTTCCTCTTGTTGTAGAAAATGGGGAAGGAAACCCAGTGTGCACCCCTCACCATACCATTGTTGCTGCCTGGTGCCTTTCAGAGGATAGGACAGGTTAACAAAGAGGGCAAGGGTCAGTCTCAGTGGGTGTGACCGCTTCCAAAAGAAAGGTCCCGGTCCCTCCCTGTAGAGGCTCCTCAGGAAAAAACCTTGCTTAGCTGCTGGTGCCCATGCAGAGATTTCTCCTGAATCTGTTGGAAGGGGAGATGCTTCTGATTTCAGACTTGCCCTGGACTTAGATATTTTCAAATTAAAGGCTCTTTGATGTCTTTGTAGTTAAAAGCCAGGGAATGGCCACAGACACTCTGCCCTGTCTGAGTGGCGGCTCCAGAGCCGCGGTGTTCTAGGCAGACTTGGAGGTCGAAGAGGCCGTCCGGTGGGAGGCCTCGCTCACGACCTCCATGCTCTCTTTCTCCAGTTCACTATGCAAGGCCTGTGATCATCCTGGGCCCAATGAAGGACAGAGTCAACGATGACCTGATCTCGGAGTTCCCGCACAAATTTGGATCCTGTGTGCCACGTAAGAGCCCAGGAAGGTTTTGGGAGGGAGGCGTTAGTGCCCTGGGAACAATTACTCTGATGTTCTGTGGAAAGGATGTGGGGCCAAGTACTAGGGTTCTCTGGGAACAGGGTCTAGTGCTCCGGAAGAGATTAGGCAGCAGTAGATTCCCACAGGGCTGATGGGGTTGAGAGGCCTAAGCCATCAGGCTGGCCTGCTTCCTCCCTTGGAGAGAAGTTTTGAGTGGTGATGGTCGGGAAGGATTGGACTAATGGGGGGTCTGGTCCAAGTGGTGTCGGCACGGCCCCGTGGACAGCTTGTTAGGTTCGCTGGCTCCTGTGCCACATTTGGCATCTTCTGCCAGGTTTTGGCCCAGGAAACCCTACCTTTCTGGTCCGGTTTAAACTAAAGCAAATAGCTCCCTGTGTGTGAACCCTGGTGGTTACAGGAGAAGTAGGCAAGGGCTCCTGGGTGGCTCAGATGGTTGGGCGTCTGCCTTCGGCTCAGGTCGTGGTCCCGGGGTCCTGGGATCGAGTCCCACATCGGGCTCCCTGCTCCTTGGGAGCCTGTCTCTCCCTCTGCTTCTCTCTCTCTCTCTCTCCCCGCCTCTGTCTCTCATGAATGAATGAATAAAATCTTAAAAAAAAAAAAAAAAGAGAAGTAGGCAAGACACACTTCTTTCAGCTACTCTCCCCCGCCACTCACCTGGAAAATACTGGCGTGGCCCCGGGGCCCAGGTGAGAGAGGAACCGGTCATCTCTTTTGGCCTGGGGCAGGTCATTGTCCTTGGGCCACACAGCATTTCCTTTCTCCCTTCAGATACCACTCGGCCTCGGCGTGATAATGAGGTAGATGGACAAGACTACCACTTCGTGGTCTCCCGAGAACAGATGGAGAAGGATATTCAGGACAACAAGTTCATCGAAGCAGGCCAATTTAATGATAATCTCTATGGGACCAGCATCCAGTCGGTGCGGGCAGTTGCAGAGAGGGTAAGAGAGGAGATGGCCCTGCTAAATACAACTGTCAAAGGAAAACCCGGAATGTCCCCACTGATATTCCATTAGGGTCCGCCTCCTCCTGGCACAGGGCCTATCAAGCGGCACGCCGGCTCTGCGTGTTCCCAGCCCCTGGATGGAGGTGGCTGTGTCTCCTCCACACAGCTCACCCCAGCGTGTCACCGACACGCATAGGGACCCCTCTGCAGATGTGGCCTTTTCTGGCTAGTAGGAGCAAAATGTGGGCCCTGGGTGTCTCAGCAATAGAATCTTCTAGGCCTCTCTGGGTGACCCTGGGTTCCCCCTCTCTGGGCAGGTGTTTGGGTTGCTGCTGGGTACATGCTTGGGGCTGGGTAGACAGGGACTGGGTGGGTTGATAACAACTCTTTGCCTTTTCAGGGCAAGCACTGCATCTTAGATGTTTCTGGCAATGCTATCAAGAGGCTGCAGCAAGCACAACTTTACCCCATTGCCATTTTCATCAAGCCCAAGTCCATTGAAGCGCTTATGTAAGTATTTGCGAGCCTCAGACGCTCCCAGCTAGGAGAGGGCCCTGGAAAGGAACAAGAAAATAAACTGATTTGTCGGGCAGGGGTAAGACCCCATGGAAGCTCCAAGGCAAGTCTGCACCCCAGCTGGTCCCCGAGGGTTCCTTCTGCTTTGAGTGCCTGCGCTTGTATTCTAGTTGCCCTTTGTAAACCTGGCAAGTTTGGGGAAGATGTTGAGCCATGGGCCACTGCTGCTCTCATAGGGCAGCTGAGCAGATTTTCAGGGAGCCTGGGAGCAATCCTTTATGTTAATCAAAATATAGGATCCAGGGGTACCTGGGTGGCTCAGTCAGTTGAGCGTCCAACTCTTGGTTTCGGCTCAGGTCGTGGTCCCAGAGTCGTGAGATTGAGCTCCGCTTCGGGCTCCGCGCTCAGCGGGGAGTCTGCTGGAGATTCTCCGTCTGCCCCCTGCCCCCTGCCTGTGTGCTCTCTAAAATAAATAAATAAATCTTTAAAACAAAAGATTCTCTCTCCTTCTGCACCTGCCCACCCCTCCCCCCACCCGGAGCTCATGCGCTCTCTCTCTCTCAAAAAAAAAAAAAAAAACACATAAATCCAGTTTGGTACCATTTTTCCTCCCCGTCTTTGGCAGGGAAATGAACCGACGGCAGACATATGAACAAGCAAATAAGATCTATGACAAAGCCATGAAACTGGAGCAGGAGTTTGGAGAATACTTCACAGGTAAGAAGCCCTGCTGCCCGGCTCGGGTAACATGGGATCAGCCAGACACCTCTAAGTGTCTCCAAAAGGCTTAGGTACCCAGCACAGAGTTTCTGGACGCTTTGGAGGTCAGACCTTTGCAGAATACTCAAGCTCCTTCCATCCAGTGTTTAGCCAGTTTGTAGTATCAACCACCACCGCCAACCGCTGCCTTGGATCATTTTGTTCATCTTGTCTTCATAGTCCTACCAGATTAGAGGCTCCCTATGTTACTTTGCTTCTCTCCCTCCCAACTCCTCCTCCCAGTGTAGTACTCGGTTGTGCGTGTTCTAGGTGCCGAATCCATGTTTGTTGATGACGATGATTCCTCAGTGGGGTGTTCAAGTTGTCTGTCAGTGTGTGTGCGTGTGTGTATATGGCCACCTATTTTAGAAGGTCAGTTCCTAAAAGGTTGTTAAAATTTCTCTGTAGTATGTTGCTTACCTTTAAAGTGCAGTCACAGGGAGGTGGGGGGGGTGGGCTGGATGGGGGCTCTTGTTGGGTTGAGCACTGGGTGTTGTATGTAAGTGACGAATCACTCGGTTCTACTCCTGAAACCAATATTACCCTATAGGTTAACTAATTAGAATTTAAAGAAAAAAATTGAAAAAAAATAAAGCACAGTGACATTTATGTGCAGGTTGGTGCTGAGTAAACCCCAGCTGCTGGTGCCACCAGGTGAAGTAGGGAAAGGATACGTAACCATACTCTCAGAGCTTGGGTTTCGGACCTTCCCTTTACTGTTACGTCCGTGCCCTCGTTTTCCGGGCTGACCTCTGACATAGAGCAGATGTGGTGGCCCCGGGAGCACTGCCTCCTGCTAGAAACCGTTTCTTTCGGTTCTTTCTCTGGATAACTGGGATTTTCCAAATCTTCTACTGAGGCTGTTTACAATGACCAGCTGCTGGCCTCATGGCTGCCAAGAGCAGCATGAGCCTCGAGGTCTGGCATCTAATGGGTGCTCAATAAACATTTTTTGAACAATCTGTTTTCTCGTTCATTGCCACTTAGTCTCACTGTCTCGGCAAGTTGACGTTGGGCCGTGGGCTGAGAGCACCTGCCAGTTTCCCTTGTTGCCCTAGGCTGTGCGGGCATCTCTGCCAGGCTGAGCTGGGGGCCTGGGGTCAGGGCAGTCTGGACTGCCGGGTTGGGGTGCTGTGGAGCACATTAATAATTCTGTTTTCCTCTTCACTTTAGCCATTGTACAGGGTGACTCACTGGAAGAGATTTACAACAAGATCAAACAAATCATCGAGGACCAGTCTGGGCACTACATTTGGGTCCCATCCCCTGAAAAACTCTGAAGAATCCCCACCAAGCACTCTCTTGTGAACAGAAGACATCAAGTCCCTCTTCCCTCCTCCCTCTTCAGTCCTGTCCCCACCAGGAGAACAAATGACTACTGTTCTTGTCCCCTTTTTTAGATATGTCCCAAAAATTGAGTTTTCTAGTCCTGTTCTGTTTTTTTAAATTTTCATCTTGTTTTAGTTTATTTTTTGGGATGATGCCATCTCACTCATCACGTGACTGTGCCCATTCCTGCATGGACCTTTCCCAAGCGCTAGCACAGGTGCAAATCCATCAGAGTCATTGTTTTCATAAAAACCAAGCAGAAGCGAAGAGACGAGAGGAGGACTGCCGGAAAGCCAGGCTCTGGACAGCTGCACGGCTTGTGAAGTGAGCTCGGTGTGCCGCGTGCCGAGATGCCCCCGGGCATTTCTGCTTCTCACGCTGCCGTCACGCAGCGCTGACCGGTGCAACGTATGGCGACAGAAAGTATCTTATTTATATATAGATATATATATGTAATTTATATAAAATATATAGAAATTATTATATATATATATTATACACTCTCATATAATATATATATATTCACACACATTTGGACTAGAAAATCTATGGAGACTTCATCAATGGTACTGTGTTATTAGAGAAATGCTTTAATTTTCATATTCCAATCAGATGGCATCTTATATCCCAGCTGGTTGGGGAGGGATCGAAAGTGGTAGTAAGTGCTGTACCAAGGGCACTCGCGTTTGGTCATTCTCTTGAAAGCTGAGGTTGTCTCTAGGTCGGGGTCAGCGAGCGGGCTTTTTCTCTGGGGGCGAGAGGGTTGGGGACGGGACCCCGAAGCAGCTGCCGCCCGGGAGGCACAGTCAGTCCCGGGTGCAGAAAGCGAGAGAATGGCTAACAGTGCTCCAGATTAAATTGCCTATTGTTTTCTGCCACCCGATGTGTCTGCATGAGAGGTTTCCTTTTTGTTCATTTTTAAGCTGCTGTTAAACCAAAACCATGTTGTGCTACCGTGTCAGCCTTTTCATTATTCCAAATTTTACTTTTACTATTTAAGTGAATGCGTAGAATCCAATTTGACAAGTGTTTTAAAGGCTCATGACGTTGTGGAGGAGCCGGGCCTTGTGATAGAGTAGGTGCGCCCGGTGTGGCCGTCCAATCAGCGGAGGGGACGCGGGGGCTGCCGGGAGCCGAGAGCGGGAGCTGGGGCTCTGCTCCGCAGTGGGTCCCTTTGCTCCCCGGGCTGGGGCCGCACCCGACCCCCCAGAGGTCCCTCCGTGGGGCACAGCACCAGGGACAGGGAGTCACTTGCCTTCCGGCTCTGCGCTGGGACGGTGGCACCGCCCTGGGCCTGGCCAGCCGTGTGATGGGAAGTTGGCTTTGGGTTTTTTTCCGCAGCTGCTCCATACGCCCTACCCCAGCGCCCGCACCAACAGCTGGTAGCTTACTGTTGCTTCAGGAAGAGCGTGGATTCCAAGGCCGTCCGCGTGGCCCGTGGAGCTAAGATTCCCTTGCTGGTGAGACCTGAAACCGTGCTGGTTTTTCCCAGTCAGAAGGCAGTGACTGCGGTCGGGGGAGTCTCTTCTCTGACCACAAGTGCAGGTGGCAGGTGTGGCTCGGGGCCCGCCCCGCCCCCACCGGGCTCTTTTTGAAGCCACCGTGCCTCCCTCAGCCCACGACGGGCCTGACACAGGGGAGAAGAGCGTGGACACGCCTGGCCCTGGGCTTGAGTCCACGGTTTCCCAGCCCACGGCGGTGGGACCGGTGGCGCACGATGCCATGTCAAAGGCGCTTTGAGTGCTACCAGCCAAGTTTAGGAAATCTGTTAACAGTTCTCCTACCAGCATAATGAGGCTATAACTGCACAGTGTGGGGCACAGAATGAGGGGAAAGAAAGGGCAGCAGCTTTACCTGGGCAGTACACTGGATTGAAGGCAAAGAGGGATGACGTGATGGCCGATGGTGACTCTGGTGAGGAGGGGGGTGAGTGGGGAGTGTTGATTTCCCTGATGTTAAGTCATGTACTCTGAGTGATGCTCAACCCTCTGCCCCTCCCAGGGAAGGAAATCAAGATTCAAAGTAAGCATGACACTAGTTGGTTTACCAGTGTTCCTTCCAAGGAGACATATATTTTTTAATAAATGATAGTTGCAATGAACTGAGTGTGGCTCAGAGGCCTTCTTCGTGGGGTCGAGAAGGGAGGGTGGGGGCACAGTCGTGGGAAGAAGTCTCAAAACTTCGGGGTCCGAAAGACTACCCAGCGGCGCCAGAGCGGCTCAGGCGGTGAAGCATCCGACTCTTGACTTTGGCTCAGGTCATGACCTCGGGGTCGGGCGATCAGGCCCGACCTCAGGCTCCACGCTCAGTGCAGAGTGTACTTGTCCCTCCGCCTCTGCTTCTGCCCCCCCCTCCCCATCCCTCCACTTGCCCTCGCCCGCATGCTCGCTCTCTCTCAAAAATAAAATCTTCAAAAAAGACTCTCCTTAGTGACCATCTGCTGACTGACTCTGCTGTTCTTCTGGACGGTTTCAGACCACTGTGCTTGTACCGGGTCCTTCGTGAAAGCTATATGCTTGGTCTTCCACTACGGCCCCCAAACACTGCCTCACGGCACCAGCCAGGTGAGAGGCGTGTCCATATTCTCCGTGGCAAGATGCTGACATTCCCGCAAAGGTACACAAGCTGGGAGACGCCTACTGCCGCAAGGGTGTTTGTTAAGGAGAAAGCAGGGGCCCAACTCGCAGCGGGGAGCTGAGTGATGAATGTGGCGGCGGCCGAGCTGGCCTGCTGGCTCCCCGTGTTTCCAGAAACCACTGAGAGCTCAGGGCAAAACGGGGGAGCCAGGCCCAGGCTAGGCCCCAGGTGGCAGGCCCCCTGAAGAGAGGTGCGCCGAGAGCAGGCGCGCGTGACCTGGCTGATGGCATCGCAGCTTCTGGGGACCAGCCTGCGGAGCCACGGCCGTGACTGCGCTCAAGAGCCATGGCTGCTCAGAAGCCCTGGCTGGTGTGGGCTGAGCCACGGGCCCGAGGCTCCTCCTGACCTGTTCGTCGTGGCGCTTGATTCCTTTGCCCCGTTCTCTCATTTGCTAGAAGGCAGCCCGACAGGAGGGAGTCCCCAGAATGCTCCTTGAGGGCCTAAGGGCATCCAGCTCCCAAGGGCAAAGGGAGCAAAGAGCCGGCCCTGTCCCCCCACCGCCGTGAGGCGCAGTCTGTCTTGGCAGCTGCCCTTCCTCACACTGGAGGCTCAGCTGGAGAAAAGTCGGCCACAGGGGGAAGCCACTGAGCAACTCAAACACCCAAGGTAGACAAACCACTGCCCCCCCCCGCCCAGTTCTGCTGTGACCAGTTGGCCAGAGCCCCATCTCCCCCCCGGGGGTCGGGGTCGGGCTGTCTCCCCAGCTCCGCTGCGCTTTCTTCAGCTCCGAGCGGCCTTGCGTGAAAACCTTCCTCGGGTGATATGATGACAAAAAAGTTGTGTCCAGCTACAGACGGCCAACCTCCTGGTGAGGCGAAAGTGCGGCTACAAATTACCTAATGAAGGCAAAAGCTTTGTGCAAACGGCGCGCTCCGGGCCGAAGCTGACAGATCAGGATGCAGAGGAGAGGGGGCAGCCGAGCAGCAGGCCTGGGGGGTAGGGGGGCAAGGCTCAGGCTCAAGCAAAGGACGGGACTGAAGGGACACCGGGCTTGAGCTGAAAGGCCACGGGGCCCTTTCCACAGGGACAGCGCTCGCCTGGTGCCAAGCCCTGGAAGCCCAGGGTGTCAGGAAGACTTGCAGAAGTGCAAACCATGAGGGTCGAAGCTGGGGAGAAGCGCACCAAGCTGTCTGGGCCCCGGCAGGATCCGTTCGGCGTCTGCATTCCCAAGCTCGGCCCTTCAGGCCTGTTCCCTCCCAGCAGTTCGTGGCCTCGGTTCCATCCGGCCTTGTATCCGCCCAGTCAGTGCCCTGGCACCTCTAGGACCTTCTGTCACCGCACACAGAACTTCCCCAAGGGCAAATCCCACACGTGGAAAAGCCCCTCCCCCCACTTATATGGAAGCACCCGGGGTCCTCCCCAGCGAGGCCCCGGCTGCGTCTTCCTCCGCAGAGCCGAGCCCGCGGTCGCCGTGTCATCCGCCTGCGGGGCCTGCCCCCGCCCCACCGCCCGCACCCCAAGCGCAAGGGTCCCTGTACCTCCAAGGACCCGGGGTGGGGTGGGGGGCTCGAGAACAAGGATTCACACCTGCCTGCGGGGCGCGTGCCGGACGGTGTTGTCCTCACTGGCCTTGCCGAACCCACAGCCGTGCTCCACGTAGCCCACAGAACCGGCCACTGACGCTGTCCGCCTCCCATGGGGCCCTGCTACCCGCGGGGAAAAGCTCAAGCCCCGTAGCGTGGCCCTTCTGCCACCAGGCCTTGGCCCGTGTCCCCTGCCTCGCCTCTTGCCGCGTCCAGCCGCCCCAGCCCGGGACACCACAGCCCCGTGGTTTTGCTCACGCCTCTTTTCCTGCCCATTGCTGCCTCCCCATCTTGCTTACCCGCAAGACTCCTCTTAGTATTTTTAAGCGCCCGGGTGGCTCCATCGGGTGAGCGGCTGCCTTCGGCTCAGGTCGTGATCCCGGGGTCCTGGGATCGAGCCCGGCGTCGGGCTCCCTGCTCGGCGGGGAGCCTGCTTCTCCCTCTCCCACTCCCCCACTCATGTGCCCCCTCTCTCCCTCCTGCCTCTTAGGTCGCCTCGACTGTCCCTTCCTTGGCGCCGGGAGACCCTGTCCCAGACCTTTCGGCGTCACAACAGCTGACCTTCATTTTGTACTTGCTGTGTGACAGGCACCATGCTAAGGGCTTTACCCATTTTCCTCCACCTAGTGCCCCAAACCGCCCTGTGACAGGGGTGCTCATGTTCTCCCCTTTCCCAGAAGAGGAAACGGAGGCCCAAGGAGGCCACACAGCTCGTAAGGGGCAGAGCCGAGTCAAACACGGCTTGTGGAGCTGCAGTAGTTGTGCCCCGAAGTGCTACGCCTGCCCCCTCGCACTCGGCCACACTTGAAACGGTTTATGGCCCTTATCTCTTTTCGTCTGCCTCAAAAAAAAAAAAAAAAAGATTTTATTTATTTATTTTGACCGCGAGAAAGAGACTGCAAGAGAGGGAACACAAGCAGGGGGAGTGGGAGAGGGATAAGCAGGCTTCCCGCCGAGCAGAGAGCCCGATGCGGGGCTCGATCCCAGGACCCCGGGATCATGACCTGAGCCGAAGGCAGACGCTTAACGACTGAGCCCCCCAGGCGCCCCTCACTTTTTGTCTTCGTGTCCTTGACTCCTCTCTGAGGGTACAAACTGTGTCTTAGTGGTCTGCATATCCGCAGCACGTGGTAGGTGCGCCACAAAAGACAAGGGCCGCGCTCGCCTTTGGCTCCTCCTCGGTGGGAAGAGATTTGACCGGGCCCAAACCTGAGGTATGAATTTTCTTTTCTGTTTTAGGGAGAGCTTCCGCTCTGAAGTGCCTGCAACTTCCCCTGGGATCTTGCTCCATCAGTTATGACTCCTTTTCATCTCCAGCCACTTCCTCTCCTTTAGCTCCTTCCCCCGCTTTTCACTCTGCTGTCCTCTCACCAAGAAGTGAACAGCGTCCCTGCTCTGCAACCACTTATTGACGATCCGCGTGTTCATTCAACACGCTTACTGAGTGGCGGAAGGCTCTCAAGGTCAGCCACCGCCTCCCGAGCGTGGCGTTCAAAGACCCCTTTCTGAGCCTCGACGTTGTAGCCGGATGAAGATGCCACATCCCTGCTCTCACCATCGATGTCATTTCTCTCTGGACCACTCTGGCTTCTCCTTGACTTCCTCGCTCACTCTTCTCCCACCTCCTAAGCACCACCATTCTCCGAGTCACCTAGGCCCCAAACCTGATTTCTCTCCTTTGGGCATCGCCTCCAACCTCTTACCAACACATGTTGATTCTTTA